AAATAAGAGAAATGAAAATAATATATTCGTTTCAAGGAATCTACTTTGCAAGCGAATACAGAATCTCTTATTTTGATGGCGAGCAGATGATTGTACGTCCCTGCATTATTGCATTGTACATTTTAATTAGCCATGATGATCATACGAGTAGGAAAATAATGATTGCTCCAAACAAAAAAAAAAGAGTTCACATTTTTACAGTTTACTAGACATGTCCACGGCCGAACCGGCCCGTGAACCGGGCCCGAACTGGCCCTAAACTGACCTCATGATAGCCGGTTCGTTGAACCGGACCCTTAAGGTCGCGGTTCGGTTCCAGTTCAAAATCTTTTTTAGGTTCCGCTAATCTGGACTGGGCCGGGTCGAGCCACGGGTCGAATAACGTGCCACAAATTATTTTTTTTTTAAAAAAAAGGGCCATGACCGCAGGGTCGATAAACCGGCGGTTCGGGCCGGTTCATATAAATGGGTGGGCCGATCACGGGCCATGAGATTGAGGCCCGCTGACCCGCAATTGGCCACATCTAATTTTTACACTCCAATTTAGACTATTTAGTTTAGAATCATTTCAATGGAGAGATTGTGTGAACCATCGGATGACACACGAATGTGTGTTAATATGACGGCTCAGAATATATTCACTCAATTTAATTAGGAATGTAATAATTCGGGAGTTAGGCCTAATTTGTTCGTTAATATATCAAATTTCCAGAAATATCGAGACCATTTATATCCCATTTGTGATGCAAAATTGACAGACTGTTTTTTTGTTTTTTATTTTTTTATTTTGGCTTAATTAATTAGCTCACACTAAAACAAATGAAATCTCCGTCGGGTTTCTTGTCAAATCTTAATTGTGGGTCTTGTTGTCATATAGAGCCGAATCATAATATTGTTGCCCACCAGTTAGCTAAGCGAGCTTTGTCGGCGACAGGACCCTTTTTGTGGAAGGACGCATTGGCGGACCTACATAGGGGCCCGTAGGGGCACGGGCCCCTATAGAATATTTTAGTAATATAATATGTATATATGTTTTATGTATAAATGTATTATTGTAGAAATTAAAAAATACATGTTATTAATTATTTTGCAAAGTTATTTCAATATAAAAAATAAAATGAAATGTTTAGAATTATTTAACCTTTAATAGTGTGTTATTTTTTTAAGTTGTGGAATTATGTTTATGCTATACTCAACTTCTTGTTTATTTCATTTTTCCTCAAAAAATACATAAAAATAAATAAATGTTATACATAAATGTATATACTATAGGGATTAGATCAAATGTGACCCTATTCTTAAAATGAGAATGTAAGACTCAACCCTAGCTATTAAATAAGAAACAAGATGTTTGGTCAATATTTAACATTTTTAATTTTGTAATTGGTTAAATATTGATTTGACTGTTGACTTATGGTGTTGACCGTTTACCGTAATTTATGCCCCCGTTGCCCTAAAAGTCTGCGTCCGCCACTGGAAGGACGGTCTCCCGTATTTTCTGTCACCTCTTTTTGTAATGGTCGGAACTTAAATCTTCATTGTTTGTTAATGTTATTGTTATTGGAAAAAAAAAAAAAAAGCGAAATGAATATTTTGCAGCAGATTTATCTTTTCTTTGAACATGACACTACGTGATGCTTTTTTTTTTATGATAATGATGTTGTTCAGAGAAGTCAATAGCTTTCGGCAGGGGTCACTGTTGTAGGCCTATAAATGGGCCTATATATGAGTCTTCAGTTTAATTTGTCTTAACTTGTGGACAATGTTAGGTCATGGGCCTGAAAATTACTGGGCTTTACTTGGGACAGTATATAGCCCATCTAATCATGCAAAGATAACCTAACACATGCCCCTTTTTTTTCTTGTGGCTATTAGACTTCTAGAGGAGCTTTAGAAAGTACACCTATATATAGGAAAATTTTAGATTTTAATAAATGTCCCATCTACACTCATACTTCAGTTCTTTTTCAGCTTTGATATTTAACTAAGTTCTTATTAAAATATCGGACGGGATGTTATCGTTACGGGACTGTATCATTTCCAATATTTTTAATTACAATATAAACCAAAAAAAAAATATGAAATTTTATAGTAAATTACAAATATAAAAAACATTTGATATTAGAGCCCCATGCATAAAATTAGTAAATTAGTGAACCTATACAATCTACTAGTTGATTAATTTGATTAGATCAATAATTAACTAACTAGCTTACTAACCTAACTAGTTAAGCTACGGTTTTTTATTTGCTAATTAAGAGCACAAATGGTATAATTAACTATAAAATCAGATAATTAAGTTAATGTATGAATTGAGTTAGGCTTAAAAAAGCTAGAAAAATTATGACGTCATCAAATCTTATCTTGCATTATTTTTCTTCTAATAAGAAACCTAGTTATTAAGGTATCCCATTTTAAGGAAAAAGACAATTATTTCAGTTAGTGAATAATTAATGATATTTTTCATTGTGTTAAAAAAAAGTAAGATAAAATAAAAATTAAGGGTTCTCCTTACTTATAGGAGGAGAAGAATGAAAATATGGTTGAATATATAACCTCTTTCATTTTCTATTTCTTTTTTCTATCAACTTTT